TTGTTTAGCTGTTGTTTTGGCGTGGTTACGGCCAACAGTAACCGGTTGTGTAGAATTAATAAAAAAGCGACTAATTGTCGGCACTCAAGGTTGTCTTCCTTGTGTCCTGTGGGACGCTACTATATATATATACTGGCAGTATGGAAAATGATTATTTGGAAATGATGAAAATGGAAATGATTATTTACAGTGAGGTGAGGGTGGTTGGGGTTGGGGTATGGACAATGATTGTGCTTTTGTAACGTTGAGGTATGGCCAGTGATTATGGTTTAGGGGACACATCATTGGTTTTTATTTAAAAACAACAGTTTCTCCACTGTGGCAGGTCTTAGGAGATTTTTTTTTTGAAAATCCGAACCACTTCCTGAATCAGTCACGTGGTACAGCCGGGCAGCGAGGCTTCGGACGTCATCATTTTCAGCTCCTCACCTAAATGACGCAAGCCTCGATACGCGCATCGCGGACACGCCCCCTCCCCTACTCGGCACACGCTTCGAAGCCTCGATACGGAACGTCACATCACTAGCTAGCGGTGTTGTGATGGATTATAGTCGGTAAAATATGACAAAATATGAATCGTATGCCTGGCAGAGCGCCCCCTAGTGGACCTGAGATGTTGCTTTATTGTGCTTTATTGCTTTTGCTGTGTTTATTGTGTGGAAAAATGGTTTATATGACGTTGTAGCCGAGGTTTCGCTGAACATTTTGATGTATACATTGTTGGGGGTCGGCTATCACAACTCGCGTAGCATTCCTGTATTTTCCGTTCAGCCCGAGGGTCCCCTTTGAAGGGGACCTTAGGGTCGATAGAGTTTTAAGTCTTTAAGAGCATTGATATTATTTAGCTTGACAGCTGACTCTGTAATGCACCACAACAACTAGCAAGAAAAGCACAGGCGTAACCTGTCACATCAGTTACAGCTCTGTTCCATTTATGCCCTGCACAACCTTGTCTTTTCACTTACTCTAGCTAAAGAGACATAATGTAAGTATTTGAAGTTCTGGAGTGGGACCTGACCTGAACCACGCCTCTTCTGTTTTCACAGTATTTAACCCACTCAAACCTCCATACTTCTGCTTCTCATTAGGTGGATCGTCCGCCATACGTATCATTGCTCACCTTTGTTTGTTTGTTTGTCCGTTTGCTCCTCTGACACAGAGTTCAAATCAAATCAAATTTTATTTGTATAGCGCCAAATCACAACAGAAGTCATCTCAGGACACTTTACAAAGTAAGGTCTAGACCTTACTGTTATCAATATTATTACATAGGGAAAACCCAACAAATCCCCCTTGAGCAAGCACTTGGCGACAGTGGGGAAGAAAAACTCCCTGTTGTTTTCTGCTCTATTGCTGGTTCATTTTCTCCAACATTTTTGGGGGTTTGTGCTGCTGGTCTCGCTCCACCATCTGCTGGGCCTTTTACATTCACCATGCCATAGGCTGCCACATCCTCCTCAGCAAGCTGCGGCTGCCTTATTAGCTTCCCTCATTCTTCGGTTCCATAGGACTCCTCCTGCCTCTTTCCTGCGATTCTACTGCTGCCAGTTTCGGCCCCTCACCACTTCCTCCTGCATTCCTTCAATGCCATGAGGACTCCTTCAGCCTCTCCTGCTGCTGGCCACTCGCTGCTCCTCGTCTGCCTTTTAATTCATTCCTTCTTCTCTCGTTCCCTGCGCCCTGGGCTGCCACCACCTGATCTGTGTTCTCTTCCTCCTTCTCCTTTTCACTGGGCACCGAGCTGCCTGCTAACCTTTCCTCAGATTACCCTCAGAGGGACACTCCACTTCGATTCTACCTACTTCCTCCTTCATCCTCCCAGCTGAATCCACTGCATAACTACAGTCGTCTTCTCTGTTCCAGCCAACATTAATCACATCACCAAGCCCGCTCCATCTCTTAGACAGTTTTGGGGGTCTGGCAGTGCCCGAGAGTGGCGTGGAGCTCCTTAGCCTTCTCCAGAACCATCAGGTTCACAAGCGTTCTCTATCCTTATACTTCCATTTGTACTTAGTGAGGGCAGGTCCCTGCTAGTGAATAAACCTTTTTGACGATGGCTCAGTTGCATTAAGTGCCCCGCTTTAGTTACAGCTGCGCTTTTCCTGTTATGTCGAAATGATAAAAGTCTGGTGGACTTCTGCCCAGGTAAACTACATAAAAAAATATGGGTAAAAAAGGTGCATGTTGTCCCACCTAAACAAGTTCAACAAAGGTGACAGGTGAGTAAGTGTGACATCAGTTATTCACAGCCTGTATACACCTACTTATTCCCAAGAAGAGGTCTAATTACAGTAACTGAAAACACCTGTGTAAATAGCCCATAGGCATAGGTGGATTAGGACACAATGGTATGGCGTTTTATTGATGTTAATCCAAAATGTATTCATTGCTCTACCTACTCTGTCAGTATCCATCCACATTTATATTCTCTTTTGCTCTTCTTGCAGTTAATGAAATATCAACACTGGTCAAAAAAAGAACAAAATCCCATCAGCAAATCTAATAGGGCAGTCAACTAGCCAACCCATGACTGCTCTCTGACCTTTGACCCTTCTATAAGGACATGACATCGCACAGGACACAAATATTAATACACTTTACTGTTGTGGCATTTAATTAATGGACATAATTCAAAACCACCACCGGGTGGATGCACACCATATTTGGACATTATGAAACAAGCATATTTTTGTTTGTTTTTTAAGATGTTTTGGTATGCATTTTAAATACAAAATCAAGATGTTTAAAAATCTGCTACTGTAACCACTCCCAAGAATTAGTTCTGTATTTTTATGTGTATTTATGTGTGCAATACAAAAAAACATTTGAAAGATCAGAATGTTAAAATTGAGCTTGCTTTTGTTCTGGTGATGTATATACATTGTGATTGTTGATTAAAAAAAAAACAACAATTATTGAAATTGCTATTCTTGCTATCAGAGGAGATAAGGGTTTATGTTAAAAAAACACTTTATGAGCTACATTTATGTTTGCAATGAGCTAAGTCATACAGTTTCAATTGTTCAATTTCAACCTATAATACTAATTTAAATGTAAAGAAAAGCAGAGCAGCTTATACTTTGCATCGAGATATGTTTGCATTTATCAGCGAAATAAGAAATAAGAGAATGTAGCATATATGTAATATATGAAAATTCAAGACTATCTTGTAGTGCATGGGGGGAATACTGAGTAAGATCATATGAAATTATAATATCTTCTGTTTGATTTGTGAATCACTGACTTGTATGTTTGCATTAGTTGATGTTGTGCATCAGTCCTCTCCCAAATATTTCCAACATCCTCCAGTATCATGGAACTGCTGTAAAAACAGTAACACAGTTATGGTTGACATGCAGCATAAATATCTAAGCCCCATATCTAAGAGGAGGAAAAATAAACTCCTGGTTGTGGAAGCACCCCTTCCAAAAATGAGAAAACAAGCTCATTTTTCATAATGTTTGTACTTGTACTGTATGACTGTATGTAGGGTTTACGATGTCATTTTATTCTTGTCATTTCCAACGTTATGTTATTTTGCAATTGCACAGAGAAGGTGGAGATGATGAAGATGGAGAAAGAACACCTTGGTCTCATTCAGTCAAAGTATCAACCTGATGGTTGGGCTAATAGGCCTGGAAGTGTTATAAAAGCATTGGATAGAGGAACATTGCAGTCAAACAAGAGCATGGTAAGAGGACAGTGAAGAAGAGAAGTCAAACAAGAGTTGAAAGAGCCGATGGGATGTCTTCCTTGATGATCTGTTCTTCTACTAGCCAGTGGTCTCCTTTCTACTGCAGGACAATATTGTTGTCTTCATCATCCTTCCTCTTTTCAATTGGTTTGTCTCTTCTTTTTTAAGGGGAAAATATGATAAAGATTTCTTTTGACAAACTGTATGATGTCAGTGCAATGCACCACTCCTTATATGGTGTGTAACTGTTGCCAGCATGGCAATGGATAGCTTAACATGTTTAAGAAATAAATAAATCAGCTAAAAGGTGTGATAATTAATGAGTTAGAGCTTGTTTTATGTTTTTGGTTGACCATTGATGCCCTAGTATAAAGACAAAGGGGAACCACTTTAGACTCCCTTAGAGTAAATGGCCACTTTGTACAATTTCTGTACAGGTACTAAGATTTGTAGACTAAATTCAGAAATCTGAGCTAAACAACTATATTTAATGATTTAAAGAGTACAAGAAAAGGACAGTTCTTGACCTCAGTGGATACTCATTTTTAGCCTAATTTACTTTTTGACCTCATGGCGACATCTTGTGGATTTTGTCTGACCTACAGGATGATGAAGCTATTGAGCACTTACCAGTGTTTTTAGTAGAGTGAATAAAATTGGGTTCTATTTCCCATGGT